AACATTTACGTTATTGAGACTGCGAAAAAATAATGAAAACGTAACAACATTTCTTCACAATCTAAATTTTGCAAGCAATCATTGCATCATGACTACAAATCGCTCCAATCATCATCAACTATCAATCCAATGAAATGTTCCTTCATCAACTTTCTATTTCAGCTCTTTTCAATGTCATCTCTGATCAAACAAGTTTTAATCTTCTGATTTTCATTTGAGAACAACTATTATACATGAAGAAATCGCTCTCCCTCAATCACAACACACAGCTTATCACTAATGTCATTATTCGTCCATTGATTCAGCATTTCTGTCTCAGAAAAAAAGAACTCAAAAAGTAATAATTACTGAAATGAAACTGATCCTTGTCGATCCTGAGAGCAGGCGCCTTCAGAACAAAATGGACATGGCAAAAACCTCAGAACGAACCTGATTCATGTCTATTCCACTGCTACTGTCCGGTGGTGTTTGCGGTGTTGCCGTAATGGTAGTGGGAGCGTTGAATCGTCGAGTGAACGGCGTTTTTGACTGAAACGAAGAGCCGCCAACAGCCGACGACGAAGTGGGTACAGACGGCAGAGGTGATACGGACGTTACAGAAGCTTGACTGGAAGAGGCCGCCGCATTGGACGATGAAGAAGAAGCCGCTGCAGAGACTCGTTTACCGTAGATTCGTTCCTTGAGATCATCCAACGAGACGGTTGGCAAAGCCCTCAGCTGAGAGGGATCCGGTAGAGCGCCGAGACGTAGCGATGTACGTCGAGTGACTTCGGCTGCATTCACGGTTGGAATGAACGAATGTGGCGTGGTGCTGCTGCTGCTGCTCACTGATTTCGACGTTACAGCAGCCGTGGACGATGATGAGACTTGTTCGCTTGCAGTCGTTGTTGCAATGGTTGAGTTCAATTGGTGATGATTGTCTTCACTTCTTCAAAGTAAAATTCCCTCATTTCAACAACATTCATTCTTTCGTTTGCTACAATTTTTCCAGTCCAATCTTGTGAGATCAGCAAATGCCGGCCACTTGCATAAGAATATGGAGTGAGATATTATTTTCATAAGATTTCATCGCTATCACAATGCTGACAATGAGATGAAGTCTCTCGCTAACAAAACAAACAATTTTAAACTATTTTCACATAAAACGACGACAACAACAATTACACAAAAACAATGCGGAAACTTTGAATAAAAAATTAAAACAAACAATGAAAACTGAAATTAAACAATTTGAATGAAAAAAGTTGCGTAAAAACGCAAAAACACTTCAACTTTACGCGCAATTCAAAACTCACTTATCACATGAAGTCGTCTTGCGTTTTCGATATTCGTCTAATGACATTTTCTTTTTCGGTGGTCGGCCAACCGGATTACTCGTCGGTACCGTTTTGGCCACTACACTCGCAGTAGCACCGCTCTGTTCGGGCGCACTCATCTTCGATGTTGACGGCAAAACCGCAAAATGATCATTCGATAAGAAACCAACCAACGTGAATTCTTTCGCACCACTCGCCACGTCTGCGGCCGCAATCTTACCAATTTGTGCACGGATATCCAAGCCATCTGAATTGAAATGATGGCGCTCTTCAAGAGGACACTTCGAGACATCAGAAGCAAATTTGTTAATCGAATCACTTCAACACTTTTGAACTACACACTTCTCGAGTGTCTTCTATGTGGATGGGGATAAAATATGTAGAGAACAAATGCCGCTAATCTGTACAAAAAAGACGCAGCTTTAT